CATGTGTATTAATGTTTTTTTTTTTTTTTCCCATGATGAAATTACACTTTCTGTTGTTCTGCAACCTGCTTTTTTTTTTTTTTTTTTTTTGTCTTTTGTCTTTTTTCCGTGTCCGGCAACGGATCGCAACCCTCAGTGTTGCCCCCGAACCGGACCGGGGACCGGCAACGGGATCGCAAGCCTCGGCGTTGCTCCCGCGCCTCGCTCAGCCAGTGAGCGGGAGCCGGTCCGCATGTGGGATCCGAACCCTCGGACGGGAGCGCCGCCGCGCTTCCCAAGCGGCGCACTATCCAGTGCGCCACCGGGCCGGCCCCGCAACCTGCTTTTTTATCTATTAATAACTTCTACTTTTCCTTTCCAGTAAATTTCCATTTCATTCAAAACCCCACATTTATTTTAAATTTGTTCATAAGGCTATCGAAATGAAAGTCTTAATAACAAAAAATTAATAAAGTAATAAAAATTAAGTTCACAACAGCTAATGGATGGGTGCAGAACCAGATTTAAACCATGGCTAAATCCTAGCTCCTCTGTTTTTAACCACTAAGTTATTCACACTTTATCTGGTTCAAGCTAAGATCTCTTCAAACACTCCACAACAGGCCCTACGACTGAGCCATATTTCCAATATACCACTTTCTCTCAACTAAGGGTCTCTTCCACACATGCCCTGTAATAAAACTTCGTGATTTTGCCTCAAGTACAAGTTGCACTTAGAAATGAACCAAGGTTCTTTGTGTCAAGTAGCTGTAATACAGCAGAGTATTTATTTTATCACATATTTTTTTCTTCCTAACTTTGCAGTAATTCCAGCAATGGCAGAAATTAAGTCTGGAGTAACAAACATTTCCTCTTTCCTGGATCTTGGAAAACAGAAATGATATAAGTCAGGTCCTAGGAACTTCTGATCTTCATATAAGACAAATCATTCTCTCATTCAACAACTCTTCATTAAGACCCACTATATGCCAATCATGGTTCTAGGCTCTGGGGATATAGATAAACTCTCTGCTCTCTCAGAGCTTATGTTTTAGTGTGAGAGACCAAATATAGACAAATAAATGAATAACTATATAGTATGTCAGGTAGTGATAAGTGCTATTATAGAAAAAAGCTGGATAGAGATAATGATGGGTACTATTTTAGCTAGGGTGATCAGGGAAGGCCTCTCTGTGGAGATGACATTTGAGTACAGACCTGAAAAAGTGAGGGGGCAGGCCATGAGAACATAGGGGGAACACATGTTTAGATAAGGAGACATTAGAAGAAAAGTGATTAGTTCTAGGTGATTATGGAAGCAATGCACTCTCAAATTGAAATGTGAAGACTGGTTTTAACTTCAACTGCTAAAAACTAAAATTTCTTTACCTGATACAGTTACCACAAGCTCCCTTGGTAAACCAAATATCCGGTTATCTGCATCAAAGACTATTACCACAGAACTAGCTGCATCATGATGCACAAAGACCTAGAAGAATAAAGTGCAAGAATTATGAAAAAGTTTACTTAAAGTATACTGTATCTCTGCTACAGTCTTAAGGTCTGTATAGCAAACCAAGGAGATGATTCATTGTCATATAAAGTATACAAAATGCTATAAAATTTTCCCTTTTGTTGCTAAAGGATAGAAAGATAACAAGATATCATAATCAAGAGTTGGTCATACTTTTTATTTCTTTATTCCCGCAAGCTTTCTAACAAGACTTTTAAAATAAAATGCAAGTATTGTTAAGAATAAGAATTGGGCTGATGGTTAGCACAGTTGGTTAGAGCACAGTGTTATAAAACCAAGGTTAAGCGTTTGTATCTCCGTACCAGCCAGCCACCAAAAAAAAAAAAAAAAAAAAAAACTACCTAATTTGAGTTTCTTACCTGTGAATGTTGTTGCTGGTACCCATCAGCAATAGCATTGATGTTATGGACACCTGGAGCCAACAGTATATGAAAATAACCTCCCTCTTTTGTGTGTACCTTTATTCCTTCATTGAGTACAATAACTGCTTTAGAGATTGGTTTTCCAGTCTTGTCTTTAACTAATCCATGAACTCCCTTGTGAACCTGAAAAAAATGTTTAAAATATAAATTTATGTTTTCATAATGCCAGATATTCTAGAGGAAATAGCTGGAGGCAAAAACAAAAGCCATACACATAAAAACCCTGTAAGGCTGGCTTATTCCTCCCTCCCCACTGACTCTGACCTTGTTTGCTACTCATTCGATGCTTCAAAGTCATAGAGATGGAGATAAGAGAAAAGAACTCTGACATAGTGTCAAAGCCTAAAGAATTAGAATCCAAACTCCTAAAGCCCTGAATGATTTCCTTCCCACCATAGTATACTGATTCCAGTAACTGTGTGATATTCAAATTAAAGAACCTGCAACATCTCACAAGGTCAAATTACCTACATTACAGCAAATTACAGACATGTGAATGCATGGCCTCTATTTAGGCAACATAAAATAAACAAAACTTTCCATTCCATGTAAACTTAAAATAAATAATATACATTTTTGGTAAAAGATTAAGACAATGTTTTGATAAGGGTTTTCACTGAACATATTCCCGGAAGTTTGCTTCTAGTTAAATGGGAAAGACTCACCTCCACCAACATGCTAAGAAGAGATCTTTTATTTTCTGCCCACAAGGAAGGGAGCTGTGCTGCACCAGGAAAGTAGCAGCAGCTTGTGTACACTGTGATTTCTGGACAATGGCCATAGGTGACACTATAATCCTGGAACACAAAGTTCAAAACCAAATGTAGGAAAATTAATAAGAAAAAGTAAGAATGAGGCTTGTAATACAACAAATGGAATAAACAGAATAAAAAGTAAACCTGGGTGATGTAAACAAAGAATCTATAAAGTATTTTACAGCAAATATAAATAAATCACTCTGTATTATAAACAGTCACAAACATGACAGCTCCTAAAAAAGCCCTTGAAGACAGGGACTATATCTAATAACACATTTTTATATCTCCAGTGCTTACCACAGTGTCTGGTATATAGAAGGGGCTTATTAGGGCTTGTTGGATAAATGACTGAATGAATAAGTACATGCACAGGACTAGCTTCCCTCTGAATGCTGGAACTTCATTGTTGTTCTCGGAGCTCTGGAGGCAGAAGAACAAGCACTTGCCCTCTAATATGCTCAACCTGGAGCCTGCTGGTGACAATAGCCACTGCCTTCAATATAGCATTTATCAGACATAGGAACTGCCTGTGTGGACAGGTTTAAGAACCTACCTTACTACCTTACCCCCCAAACTTGTTCTTTTTCCTAATTTAGTTAATGGCATTAACTCATTTTCTCACATAATCATGAAATCTCTTGTCTTTGACTTCTTTATCTCACTATCATCTATAATTTACCAAATCCTGGCAATTCCACCTCTATAATATCTCTGAAACTTCATCCTAGATGTTACTAATCTAGGCCCTTATTACTTCTTTTCTAAACTACTCCAAATGAGCCACCCTGTACCAGTCTCTCCTTCCTCCAAACTACCTTAACCCACTGTTAAGAGGTTAATTTTCCCATAGCACAGCTCAGATGTCACTATATCCTGCTGAGAACCTTCAGTGGCTTACCATCCCTTACTGAAACAAAGCATTCAAGGCTCCAAACTCCCTGTCCATTCTTTTCTTCTGCTGTTCTCCACTACACCCCATATTCTAACTAAACTACAATGCTTACTGACCTCTGCATACTGCTTCCTCTTTTCAGAATGTCCTTCTTCATCATCTCTGCATTCCAACTGCTATCTCCTCTATAAAGAGGAGACTGCATCTCTGACTAGGTATAATTTTTTGTCTCTAAATTCTCACAGCATGTAGAGAGTTGCTCTCTTCTAGATCAAAATCAATTAATTCTGTAACACAGTTGTTGGTACAATAGGCCAGAGAATACATTTTATTTATTATTAATATAGCCAAGTGCCTGAGACATAGTAAATTCTTAGTAAATAAAGGAGTGAAGGCAGGCAGAGATGGGAATAAAGTCAATTTTCTGGCTGCACATGTGAATGGAATGACCAGCTAGCCATCCATCTGCTAACAACTCCTGCCTAATTTGAAGTGGATGGACAACCAATTAAAATGCTGTCAGAAAGAAATTAAAGAAGACCTAAATAAATGGAAAAACATACTATGTTCATGTATAGAAAAACAACATTGTATAGATGTCAAAACCATCCAAAGTGGTCTACAGATTCAACACAAAATTCCAACAGCCTTTTTTGCAGAAAAGGAAAAGCCAATCCTCAATTTCAAATGGAATTGCAAGGAACTCAACCAAAACAATCTTTAAAAAGAACAAAGTTGAAGGACTCACACTTTCCTATTTTAAAGCTTAATAGGGCTGGCCAGTTAGTTCAGTTGGTTAGAGCACGGAGCTGATAACACCAAAGTAAAGTGTTCAGATCCCCATACTGGCCAGCAACCAAAACCAAAACCAAACCAAACAAAAAGCACTAATACAAAGCTACAGTAATCAAAACAGTGGTACTGCCATAAGGATAGACATATAGACCACTGGAATAGGATTAAAAGTCCAGGGATAAACCCATATATCTGTGGTCAATTGATTTTTGGCAAGGGTGCCAAGACCATTCAATGCAGGAAAGAATAGTTTTTCAACAAATGGTGGTGGGACAACTGAATTTCTACATAGAAACAAATGAAGCTGAACTCCTACTTCATACCATATAAAAAAATTAACCTATACTGTATCAATGACCTAAATACAAGAGGTAAATCCATAAAATCTTTAGAAGAAAACATAAGGGTAAGTCTTCATGACCTTGGACTTAGCAATGGATTCTTAGATATGACAACGAAAGCATAAGCAACGAAAGAAAAAAATAAATTGGACTTCTTCAAAATTAAAAACTTTTGTGCATCAAAAGACATGAAAGTAAAAAGACAACTTACAGAATGGGAAAATATTTGCAAATCATGTATCTGATATGAATTCAAAATCCAGATATATAAAGACCTCCTACAGCTCAACAAGAAAGATAAAAACCCAATTTGAAAATGGGCAAAGGACTAAACAGATATTTCTCCAAAGAAGATGGCTAGTAAGCACATGAAAAGATGCTCAACATCATTAGCCATCAGAAAAATGAAAATCAAAACCACAATGAGATACCACTTCACACTACCAGGATGGCTATAATAATAATAATAATAAAACAAAATAATAAGTGTTGGTTAGGATATGGAGAAATTGGAACTCTTGAACTTTGCTAGTGGGAATGTAAAATGGTGCAACTGCTGTAAAAAGTTTGGTGCTTCCTCAAAAAGTTAAAACAGAATTAAAATATGACCCAACAATTCCACTCCTAGATATATGCCCCCAAAAGTCAAAAACAGGGGCTCAAACATAGTTGTATGCCAAAGTTCATTGCAGCATTATTCACAATAGGCAAAAGGTACAGACAACCCAAGTATCCATCAACACATGAATCGATAAACAAAATGTGGTATATACATACAATAGAATATTATTCAGCCATGAAAAGGAATGACATACTCATACACGCTACAAAATGAATGAACCCTAAAAACGTGCTGAGTGAAAGAAGCCAGACACAAAAGGATAAATATTTTATGATTCTACTTATATGAAATACCTAGAATAGGCAAATTCTTAGAGACAGAAAGTAGATTAGAGGTTACCAGGGGCTATGGGGAGAGGGGAATAGGGAGTTATTGCTTAGTGGGTACAGCATTTCTGTTTGGGGTAATGAAAAAGTTTTATAAATAGATATGGTGATGGTTGCACAACATTGTAAATGTAATTATGGTAACTGAATTGTACAATTAAAAATGGTTAAAATGGCAAAAAAAAAAAAATATATATATATATATATATACTGTCAGGTTAATTAAGAGCTGTACATGTCAAGAAAGCCATGAAGCAAATGCCATTCACTTTGCTATATCAGAAAAATCACCTATTCTTTCACTTAATGGCCAATATTCATAATTCCATTCTAATTGTGACCTATAAAGCATACCTTCATGCTGCCCAGGTGACTGTGCCATTCTGCTCCACGCATTACTCCCCCTGGAATATTCTCATCTATGAAAGCATTGAGAGATGTAGAGTCAAGAAGACCATAAAGCAAGAACCCGGCTCCCACAAAAACAACGATAATAACAATAAAAGGGTAGGGAAAATACCTACCTGATTTATTTGGGCAACTGGGCTGACCCATGTGCATCGATGGATGATTATTTGCATAAAGAGATGCCAAATGCTTCAGAGTCTCTTTGTTTTCCACTATAAAAAGAAAAATTCAGAAGTCAGTGGAGAAATCCAAAAGATTTTTCTCCAAGTTCAACTTCATAGATACAAGTCATCTTCCTCTCCTCCTAGTAAATCTTGTACCCTGCTAAAATTTACTGAGTAGTTATTATAATTAACTAAATGGTTTTTTTTTTTTTTTTTTTTTTTTTTTTTTTTTTTTTTTTTTGCCAAATGCTTCAGAGTCTCTTTGTTTTCCACTATAAAAAGAAAAATTCAGAAGTCAGTGGAGAAATCCAAAAGATTTTTCTCCAAGTTCAACTTCATAGATACAAGTCATCTTCCTCTCCTCCTAGTAAATCTTGTACCCTGCTAAAATTTACTGAGTAGTTATTATAATTAACTAAATGGTTTTTTTTTTTTTTTTTTTGTTCTGTTTTGTTGTTTTTTTTGTGGCTGGCTGGTACAGGGATAATTAACTACATGGTTTTATTCATCCCAAGATAATCAGACTAAGAAGACAAACACCTTCTTTACATTAAAATGTACCAATGCTGAGTTTACACAACAGGGCACCATACTAATATACAAATTTGTTTTTTGTATGTTTTACCACATTTTGGGACAACTGTGGCTTAATAACAATATTCCTTGTAAGCTGCACTGAAAACAACTCAAACTCACTCCATATACTATGACCTAAAAGAGATTAAACAAGCAACTATTTAACTCACCATAAGGTACATAAGGTACAACCAGTCAGTCAAGGTTTAAAGCAGAAAAGGGCAATATTAGTTTCTTGAGGCAGGCACTGTGTCATATTCACTTTTGTATTCCCAATATCTACAGACATAATAATTGCTCAATAAATGCTTGTGGACTAAATTGAACAGACGTGACAAGATGCCTAGACTCAAAAAAGGTAGGCTTTCCTTAGGTCTGACCTCCCTTCTCCAAGTAACTGTTTGAACAGCTGATGCATGTTCTTTGGTTGCCTATTTGTTTATGGAGTGTGCTCAAATGCTCACTATTTACAAAAATTCAGAAGGGACATTACTTAATTGGAATTTCCTACCTAAACTTAAATAGTATATATGTGAAACAACATTCTACATACCTGTCTGTACTGGCTTGTCATATGGGTATGTCACTAGCACAGAACCACCATCTAAAGCAACAGAAAGACTAAAGTCCTGTTTTTGAATCAAATTTTCAATGATGGCTTTAGTCTCAGGCTGGGAGGCATTACCTAAAAAAAGAGAAAAATCTAATATAAAATATCAAGTTTTAAATTTTAGTGTGAGTATCTAAGAAAATATTCTCTACTTAAACACAATCAAAACGCTAACTTACAAAATTTGTAGATAAATATTTTATTTCTAGATATATTCTACAAGGTAAGTTATTTGTAGTTTTATATACTTCAGAATAATGTGTATATATTAATGACTCTAAGCAAGTTTAAGGAAATTCTTACTGGAAAAAAAAAGAGGATGGACATATCCTGCTTTAAAAAATAATTTAGGGAATATGTAACCTATCCTTGAAATAAAACAAGATTTTCAGAAAGCACAGTGTTTTCTGAAGCATTGTTTGCAAGAGCAAAAAATCAGAAACTAAATGTTCATCAGTAGAAAATAGTTAAATAAACTAGAGTATTGCTATATATTAATGGCATATTAATAGGAATGTTAGAGATCTGAAAGTACTAAAATGGAAAGATGTCAATGATATATTCAACGAAAAAAGCTGTTACAGAATAATACATATAGTTGATGATACCATTTAAGCAAATCAAAAATAGGCCCCGCTAAATCAACATATATATATATGTTGTGTGTGTCTGTGTGTGTACATACAAGGATACTTCAAAGAATTCATGGAAGGATTCTTATTATCTTTTAATTCCATTTTTCCAAGAGCTTTTGAAGTACCCTTGTATATAGGAGGGTAGAGAGAAAGAGAATACACATCTCTACATAATTAGTGAAGGAATACCTCAATATTATTATTCTTTTTTGGGGGGTGGCTGGCTGGTACAGGTCCCCCAATGTTATTAATGGAATTTCTATGAAAAAAATTGAATTATTTTGCAAATGAAAAAGGAAAAACATTCAAAAAATTTTCTGGATGTCTGTATTTATTTGTACCTCACATTCATAACCTAGACAAAAAAGTGCCCCATTACTCATCTACAAAATAAGATCAACCAGTCTCCTAGCAAGGAGAAAGAATTATCCCCAAAGTACTTTAATAGTCTAAAAATTGGTCTTACTTGTGAAGTCTGTATCTAAGTCTTTGCCATGAGCATTTGTTTGTCCTGTCTTTGAAGTACAGTCTTTTTCTTGTGCTCTCTCTCGCCCATCTGGATTTAGAGAAGGGACAATCACAATCCTAGTCCTGTCAACCAACTAAAACAGAAACAGAAATCAATGAGTTTAATTAGCTCTGTATGGAACCAACCAGTACCTTCCAATGACTCAAACAGAAAGTCTTCATTGTTGTTTTAAGCAGTGAATTTGAAAGGGAGAACTAAAAAAATAAATAAATAAAAAGAAAATAACATTTTCTCTTGATCCAAATAAGTTAAAAAAGAAACAAAAAACTATTGTTGTTCCCAGAGACCTTCTGGTGACTTAAAACAAGGGTCAAAAACCACTCCATGCAGGCCAAATCCAGTCTGCTGCCTGCTATTATACATAAAGTTCTATTGGTACACAGCCACGCCCATTCATTTACATACGACTAGTTTTGTGATATGATGGCAGAGTTGAGTGGTTATAACACAGAACATCTGCCCACAAAGCCAAAAATATGTATTATCTGTCCCTTTACAGAAAGCTTGCTGACCATTGGCTTAGATCAATAATAATGGTAGGACTACTTTTCTTGATTAAAAATTGGAATTTATACCCTGACAAATATCAATGTACATCTGGAAACAATAAAACAGAAGAGTTGAAATCAGCATGTGAAAAAAAATGAGATGAAATATTTATCTTAACTGTAATAATTTCTCCTCCAGATGATCCATAGGCATTAATAACTACACATATGGCATAAACTAATTTTTTATATACTTTATCCTACATATTTCTAATAGTAAATCAGAATAAGTGATCCCTGGTTTATTTACTATGGTAAAATAGTCTATAGAGTGAAAATATTTGAGACCCCATAATTCATTGATTCTTAAGCTTCTCCCTTGGTGGAGATTTTTTTTCTAAGGCGCACCTGGGGCTTCACCACAGGCCTACTGAATCAGAATCTCTGGTGATAGGGTCTCTGAGCATGTGTATATTTTCTTAAGCTCTCCAGGTAATTCTGACCCTTAGCTCAAAACAAATGGCAATCTTTTTTTTTTTTTCCTTTTTGTCTTTTTTCGTGACTGGTAACGGGATCGCAACCCTTGGTGTTGCGCCTGCACTGAGCTCAACCAGTGAGCGGACCAGTCTCTATATGGGATCTGAACCCTTGGCGGGAGCGCTGCCCTCTACCGAGTGCGCCACCGGGCCGGCCCCAAATGGCAATCTTAAGTGATCTAGTCTTATGAGTAACTGTTCAAGTCCAATTAGACCAGTGAGACAAATTCCTGTTAGGTGTTTTACCTAGGTATATAGTCTCTTACAACCTTAAGACCAGTAGGCCAAATATTAGAATAACCTAAGGAGCTTCTAAAGAAATCTTGATGCCTCTGGGGATGCAGCCCAGGCATGGGTATTTTAAAAAGCTTCCCAGGTATTTCCAGTGTATAGCCAGGGTTGGGAACCACCATCCTAGATACTCTCCCATTTTAGAAAAGAACAAAAATGTCTTTGAGATACTTCTTGTAGCTCACATGAAGTCAATGAAATTTGCTTTAATGAAGATGGTACAATCATTTTTCATCAAGTCTGATTTAAGTGCATCTCACCTAATCACATATGTCCCTTCTGATCCTAATTATGACATCAGTTCTTTCCAAATTTCTTTTGGAGGAGTCACTACGGTATAACAAAACTGCATGGGGCTTTAGAATGAGACATGCTTGGGTTTAAATTCCAGTTTTACTAGTTACTAGCTGTGGGACCTCCTATAAGTTAACAAATCTCTGCCTCAGTTTCCGCATTCATAAAATGGAGATAATCATTATTACAGGGTTAAGGATGAAATTAATGATGTATATAAAGTACCAAGCATAGTATCTGGCAGACAGTATGTATTCAACAAATATTAATTCAATAGTGCCAATTAGTGAGTGTTTTAGAAGGATGGATGCACTCTTTTCTTCCTTCCTCTGAGACAACACAGAATACACTGCTTAATCATACATGACCAAGCCTCTGGATCAAAGTTCTTTTCTGTAGCTATGGATGGCTCTAGCAGACAATGCCATATTGCTTCTTCTAAAATCTCTTAGCAGCCATGATGTCTAATTTTTTTTATGTATTACATGAAAAGAAAAACTACGTCTTTCACTACATTTTTCACAATAGTGTTCTAGTTATAAGTAACTGAGAATAAAGGTTCAAGTTAGAATGTACAGAACAGTGAATAAAGATTGAAAGAGTAGCTCGGCTATTAAATAAAGGAGTACAGAATTGAATGTAAATTTTTAATACTTTTTCTACCATGCCTCTTAATATATACAAAGAAATACAATAGAAAGACATATGAACAATGAGTATATAGAAAGATCATTCATTTTTAAAGAGTACAGTTTATAATGCATTAAAAGTGCCTCTGTGTGAAATCTAACAAGAAATTAAAAAGTTTTAAGTGGTGCCCTGCTATCAATGTATCACTGAGGTTTTTCCTTTTAAAGCATCTCAAAACAGGCTATTCTCTTACTTGGGTAACAGCTGGGTTCTTTTTGTAGTTCAGGCAGAGAAATTCTGCCAGAGCCAAAAGCAATTCAGTTCCAACTGGAGCATTTCCATGGATACCAGCAACAAAACGAATCTTTGGTTCTTCAGGCTCAGATATGTTGGGTTTATTGGAGATTTCAAGGGACCAAATGTGACGATATTCAGCGCTCTGTCCCAAACTTTCAAAAACCAGAAACAAAAATTCAGCAAATAATCAATCATTAAGTTAATGCTGACTTACGGGCTTTAAAAATAGAATTCTCATACCATCTTCACAATATTTGGCCTATCTTCTATAATCTACACTATTATTTAGTTAATATATATATTTTTTAATTAACTCACTTAATTTTTTAAATTTATTTTTTATTGAAGCATAATTGATTATATATACTTGTAGGGTACAAAGTTGACTATCAATAGTTATATATAATATGTGATGGTCAAATCAGGATAGTTAGCTTACTCAATTTTTTATTATGGAAGTATTTACATATATGTGAATGTGAAGAACCTCCTTTTTAAAATCTAAGTTAATCTATGTATAAGACATTTTATACTTTACTATAAACACAACACCAGTTTCACAGTAAAAATAATTCAATGAAAACAAAGCTATGGTCAAATGCTCTGCTTGCCCAAGAGCTCCAAGCTTAAGGCTTATTTTTTTATTATAAAGGCAGATTTACAAGATTTAGGTAGAAAATATATATTAGCATTAAACTGAAAAGAATAATAAAAGAGAAAAAATTTTGCTTTCTCATGATGCTATTCATTGATACTTCATGCCTATTGGTATTCCACCTAAAACCATCTTGTGCCCCACCACTGGCAGGTGTGCTATATTTGGGGGCAATATTTAACTAAAAAGTGCACCTTGAATAAGAAGGTTTAAAAAAAATTAAATGAACGAAGTAAACAGATGCAAAATAATGTCCAATTTTGGATTTATTTTAAAACAAGAAAGTCTGTAAACTCTATATGGCACTAAGATGGATGATATTAAAACCTGAACTAGGCAGAAATATTCAAGAATCAGTTGAGGAAGAGAGGTAATTGGTACTACCAAAGTAAACTTCACTCTTTGCATCTGTGAACATTATAAATCAGAATTTGAGAGGCTAAATTTCCTGGTAAAATTAAAAAGACCAATGAAGAGAACAAAGTAAGAAAGTAAAAGGCTAGATAATGTTCCTTAGCTATGTAATAGTGAGCTGTAAGCTCAGGGCAAAATGTAAAGACTCCACCTACAATAAGCAAACCATAGAAATCAATAAATTATGGAAATAATTTTGGAGTAACTGTAACAAGGCCTACAGATAATCTATAATGAAACAGTGCAAGTGAGGCAGAGAAGGCCCAGGAAGTAAAGGAAAAAGTTGTCTCAGCCATCAGTTTTACATAAGTCAGTACTGAATATTTCCCTGGGACCCTCAATCACACTTGTCCCTAAAGCTTCAGGTATCAGAGACTGTGAGTAGAAACTACAGCATAGGAAATGACGCAAACAGGCTTCGTTTTCTAATTTGAAAGAAAAGGTTACACATGATTCCTGACAGGTGAACTCATAGTTCCAAATTCCTGGGCCAAGCCTGTGGCGCACTCGGCAGAGTGCGGCGCTGGGAGCGCAGCAATGCTCCCGCCGCAGGTTTGGATCTTATATAGGAATGGCCGGTGCGCTCACTGGCTGAGCGCGGTGTGGGTGACACCACACCAAGGGTTGCGATCCCCTTACTGGTCATGAAAAAGACAAAAAAACAAAAAAACAACAAAAAAAACCAAATTCCTCCCTTGCCCCCAGCAAAATAAAATAAACTAAGTGATATTTAGTCAGAACATGGATCTGAAATCAATCAAACTAAGCATTAGGAAAAGTAATTTTACATTTCCTGGATGCACAGGCTATACACTGGTAATTGAACAAGTAACTCTCCAATCTTCCTCATTGGAACATTATTAGAAAGATCTCCAAGCAAATAATTGTTGCAAAATAAATAAGGTCTCTATAGGTAAGGTCTCTATACATTCAGGTCTCAAATATTTCTAAATAAATTACAAAAACTATTCAACGTGGCTAATGCTGAACACACCCTCGTACCAAAAAAAGAAAGAAAAAGAAAGGCAGTAAGAAGGTGGCACTTACTTGGTAAGATTTGTAATATGTGGATAGTTCATTACGAGTCCTCTCAGAAACTCTGATAAGTCCTTGTATGAATGGTATCGATAAAGAGCCAGATTTGAGGAGGACCGTAACATGAGGCTTTCTAAACCATTCTCAGCTGAAAGGTCCTTAATTAAAGTTTCAAACTCTTTAGTAGTTGGATCACTGGCTTCATCAGTACTGGTGCTATCCCCCTTTCCTTTCTTTGATTCATTGTTTGAATCTGTTGAGGATCGAATAAGTGTGAAGTTGACCTGAACAGCGCCTTCACTCTTTACGGTCACATTCTTAGTAACTGGATTATACCTATAACAAAGGAGACAGATCAGAACCACATTTATTCAGCTGGACTACCCAAGCCCTGAGAGGACAGAGGTATGCAGAGAATACGTGAATCCTTGGAATAAATGTGGTGCATCTTCCTAAAGAGTCAAATTTTTAACTTTTGGGGCCGGCCCGGTGGCGCACTGCTACAGTGTGCCGCTTGGGAGCACGGCGGCGCTCCCGCCGAGGGTTCGGATCCCACATACAGACCAGACGCTCACTGCTGAGCGAGGTGCGGGCGCAACGCCGAGGGTTGCGATCCCATTGCCGGTCCCGGTCCGGTACGGGCGCGACACTGAGGGTTGTGATCCGTTGCCAGTCACGAAAAAAGACAAAAATAAAAAGGAAAAAAAAAATTTTTTTTTTAACTTTCGGTAATGTATGATTTTTTAAAACACTAATTAACGAAGAACAGACATGGGTATACTGTAAAATCTTAATGAGTTTTTAAAATAAATGTACGACTTTAAAAGAAAGTTTGTGCTTGCAGTGCATATCCCCATGTCTCCTGGAATATGAGTTCACTTGTCTTCCATTTAGGTATATGCATGGAAAAGTTTGAGAGGTACTGAATTGGGATATTCTGTACCAAACACATCATTCTTGACTATTTCTCAGATACCCTGATGCCTTAGTTTATACAATACTCTGCTAAAATGGGAGAAAGACAGAAAAGCCTTCATTACTCATGTTCTAGCCTATCCAGTTATGGATCACTAGATACTTGAAAAACATTTTTTAAAAAAGGTAGTAACCATAAATGTTTTCATGTACTTACCCTTACTTCAATGAATGTTCAAACTAACTCTTCAGAAATAAGTTAGCCAGTGGGGGTGAAGGGAGGGAATATAATGAGGTGACATCTATACTTATCAAATAAACTTATTAGAACATTACAAAGAAAACTACAAGAGTGGAAAAATGATAAGTTTCAGATTAGACAGTCAGGTGGTTCCAATTCTAAGCTGTTTGTAAAAGAGGGAGAAGAGAATTAGATGTTTCATTTTCTCTTTTTAAATAAATCTTTGTGGAAAGAAACCCTGTAAAAAAGATGAAAATGAGCTTACTTAGAGAACTAGCAATAAAAGAATATTTCACTGAAGCAAGAAAGCACATGTACAACAGTAAAAAACGAATGTCTGTGAAAAAGCTTTAAAAGACTTTTAAAAGGGTACAAATGCAAAGTAGTGGCATTTACTGGATAATATAACTACAAGTATGCAGAACAGTTTTTTTTTTTTTTTTTTTTTCCAACTAACAGGCACTTCCCAGTATTACCAATAGAGAAGAAAATCACTATGTCATTTACACCTAGACAGGGGACAGGTGATCAGAGAAGAGGAGGGTAAAGGTGGCTGTTCAAAGTGCACGATTTCACAGATTTCTTACATTTGAGAGTTCAAGTAATCACTCTACCACTAGAGGAGCGTCAAAGGTGTAAACAGCTCTGAACTTTCCAACATTAAACTCGAGGTTGCTTAGCAGACTCTCTAGGACTTTCTGGTAATAATCTTCCAGAATGGAACCATATTTGTCTTAACCCCCAGCACTCAATTTCAAAGCACTCAGTCACTCACCCTCGAGCAGATGCTGTGATTTTATAAGTTCCTGGAACCAAGAGACGCCAGTAATCTCCAGTTTTGTAAGTAGTCACTGGATGATTAATTTCAGCAACACTAATGGTGGCATTTAATATACCCCTGCCATCCGTGGCATCTAAGACAAATCCTTTGACACCCTGATGAACCTGGATAAAGTATAGACACCCAGATTTCAATAGTAAAGATCATCATCTAATTATCTTGAGAACTTATATCCAAAATAAAAATTGTTAATAATGTAAACAAATGGAACAAACAGGAATTTAGGAGTTCAGAGTAAAGCTAAATGTAAGTACTCATTAAACAAAATATTTCTGTTTCTGAAGGCTAATTTTTCATAGGCTAGGTTTGTTTTTATCATGAAGAATATAAATAACACTGTTCAGCACAATTCTGATGATTTCGCAATCTAGGACATTCTAAAGAAAACAGGCCTGGGCTCATCAAAAAGGAAATGTCACTTTTTAAAAATGGAAGGACTATTCTAGATTAAAGATACTAAGGAGATATACTAACCAAATACAATGCATGAATCTTGTCTACATCCTGGTTCTAAAACACAGCTATAAAATTACATTTTGGGGACAAGTTTGGAAATCTGAATACAGAGTAGGTATTAGGCAACATCAGGGAATTACTGTTTATTTTCTTAGTTGAGATAATGGCATTTGTGGATGATATGCAAAAACAAATCCTTATTTTTAGAAGACAGATGCTGAAATATTTAGGGGTAAAATACCACAACGCCTGTAATTTATATTGAAATAGTTCAGCCAAAAATGTGTGTGTATACTTTACATATAAATAAATAAAGCAAACACAGCAGAATGTTAAAAATGTTAACTTTAGGTATAGGAGTGTTTATCAGCTAGTCTTGTAGCTTTTCTGTATGTCTAAAATTTTTCAGAATAAAATCTTTTAAAATATTAGTCAACTAGGCTGGCTGATTAGCTCAATTGGTTAGAGCACAGTGTTGTAACACCAAGGTTGAGGGTTCAGATACTGGTAAGGGCCAGCCACCAAAAAAAAAAAAAAAAAAAAAAAAATTTAGTCAACAAACACAGCCTTTATGCCTCACCACTCAGGAAAAGAAAAAAGCAGAGATATACTGGCACAAAGTATTAGTCAGATTATCCTAATTAACCTTTGGCATAGTTCTTATAGTCTACCTATTGGCCACCATACATATCCAAACAAAAGGAAATAAATCATTCTATAATAAATCACTGACAATAAGAAAAAGAATAAATCACTTAACAAATGCTTAGCTGTGTGTCCAATTTATGTTGGCCTTTTATAAGGACAGGGTAAAAAGTGATCACTAACCATTAAGAGCAAAACATCACTACCTTGTTTAATTATTTTCTTCAACTCTTCCCTGTGTATACAAATAAAGTCATTTCCATCCATGAGTTTTCTAGATAAATATACTAAAAAAATTGAAATAAACAAGCTGGTTAAATACACTACAACAAGTTGGAATTTGACAAGGTGTATTCTCAAATCACTACATGAAAACCACATGTAGACACAAAAGTCTTCATGCTCTTGGGAGAAATTTCATACTTTATTCCTCAGTAATCACCTGTTTCATAAACTGGATTAGAGATCTTCGATTCTGTTCCCAAAATTTTGGCAGATCTTTCTCAAGTGGATATTTCACACAGCCTAGTTCAATAGTCACTTCAAAGCAATTTGTTTGTAAATAGTTCCAGTCCTGCATACCCCCTAAAGGATAAAAGATTAAAATCAGTCACTCTGAAGAAGTTCTAAATAGCTAAGATCCCAAAAGGTAAGCAGCATTCACAGTAAAGAGCCAAATTCATCTGTATCAGCATTGACTGAAAAACAATATGTGTTCAAGTGAGGGTTCTTTGATGCTTGTGGTACAGGCAAAACACCTGTACTTTCATATTCAAGAAGAATTCAAGTGTAGCTTGCACTCTTACCTATTAACACACGTAAGGTTCTTTGCAATAGACACTAGTAAAATATAACAATTTCATCAATGTTTAGTGCATTATCTTTACTCAAAACCAAAGTGCACCAAGTGTAAAAATAGCTGAAAAGATTAGTTGAATGTTTTAAACTAAACAACATTTAAAAAGAATGATTCTTCCTCAAAATTAAAAGTAACAAGCAGCACCATCCAGGGGAGTAAAAAAAGCTATCAAGTTGTAAGGCCTAGAAATAAAATCATCTTTACCTGGGACATTATACCAACTAGCTCCATTTGTTATTCCATGAGGAAAATATTCATTAGGATACATATTCTTGCAAGGTCTACCTTGATACATCTGCGAATTTTCCTAGGGGGAAAAAAATTATTATTTGTATTTGTTTTTATCTGCATTAAAAAACACTGGAAGAATATAGGAAAATGATAAAAGTGGCTACCAGTAGGGTGTGTGAGGGGGTGAGGGTGGGAATAGGGTGGATGGAGCCATGGGAAGCAGTGAGGTTTTTCAATGCAGAGCTTTTTATGCCATTTTGATTTTTGGCTATGTGCATTTGTGCTCTGTAAGAAAATATTGAAGACTTCATTTATTACTGCAATTGTAAGTAATATAAAACCCATCCCAACCCCTTTCTAACAAACAAACAAACAAACGAACAAACGAACAAACAAACAAAGGTCTGCTCATATTCATACTTTTGTTTAATGCTTTTAAGGAGCTTAAAGTCCAGAAAAGACAATACACATACAATGTAGAGTAAGCAGCTTTCCCTGACTTCCAGGGGGAATTAGATGGATCCTGTGCCTTGACTGCACTCGGAACAATAATTTTCTTATCCTATTACAACTGGTTGCATGCACAGTTGTAACAATACACTACTCCTTAAAACAGTGTCTTTGTGTCCTCAGCATCTAGCCCAGGGACTAAGCATGCAGTATACGTGCAATTGCTTGCTCAGAGAAGGGTAAGAAAAACAGGCATTCAGGCACAAATAAATGCTTATTGGAAGCCAGAGGAGAGAAAAATTACTTCTGCTAGAGTGGCAGGGGAAGGTTCCTGGAAGAAATTAAACTCTGAAAGATAGTCAAAACTTAATTTCTCTCTTTTGGAAATAGAAAGATTGAAAAGTACAAACAAGTATGAAGATAAAAATAATAATTTCCCATTTTACCACTACTGAGAATTAACCATTTAACTTTGAAATCAACAATCCCCTTCCAGAAACTTAATATACCAAGTATAGGGTTATGATCCCACCACTCCTAATGAAATAAAATAATTATTTATTTATTTTCCAAGTAAAAATTTTTAATACAGATGATTACAAAAGACGGAAAAATCAGCTCAGAAAGGCCAATTACTTCTTTAGTATTTTCTCCCTTTTTAAAAGGTTCCCTGAAATTGGTGAGACTCTCATATTCAAGGACTGCTGAGCTGTTCTGTTTTGGCTCCTTTGGTATCTGTTTTTTCACCACTATTGTTCTTAGATTTATCTACTTCCTTAACATCTGCTTTTTTGTCCTCTGTTTCCTTCTTGTCTTCTTCGATTCTAGCTTTCTTTGCTCCTTTCTACTACGACTTCCTTCTCCTTCATCCTCAGAATCTGAGAATTCTTCATCACAAGCTATCTGCTTGTCTAATGCTCGAATAGAAATTCTCTTGTCTGGATCTTCTCCATCTTCATCCCACTGTCTTCATGAACAGCCTCTTCTGGAATAACTCGCATTTGGACACCAGGTGCAAGAGGTTACATGCGCAAAATTTCAAACAAACGGTTTTATCTTTTCCATATATTCTGGAGTGTTCTGGTTTGTCATGTTTGAAGGACTAATATGCAGTTTGAAGTCTGGTCCAAAATACTCAAAATAATCATCATATGGCAACGCACTGGGAATCTAAAAATCAAGGGCAACTGCAGTCTCATATGTCCAGCAGCGAGCAACATTACGGATTGTGTATCTACCTCCCCCAGGCACCAGTAATGATAAGGTAAAAGTTTTTACAACTTCTACACATTTAGCGTGACCTTTGACTGTTAGACTGAAGCAGCCAAGCCTATCACCAGATGAGTCTGCCCCACACTGTAATACCGCAGCACTAGGTTGATACACCTCCATCACTTTTGAGATAATTGGTTTGAATATCTGCCCATGTGACTCATCATCTACATCATCTCTCATTGGAAAATTGACAGCTTAATATTTGCCTTTTCCAGCACCAATATCCCTTAAGTCTCCTGTGCCAGTAATGTATTCCCCATATTTATGGAATGATACAGTCATTACATGATCTGTTGTATAAAAAGCTTCTTCAACACCATCACCGTGATGGATATCTATATCAATATATAAGACTCTTTGATGGTACTTTAGTAATTCAAGGATGGCAAGTACAATGTCATTAACATAACAGAATCCTGATGCTTCTGATTTCTTGGCATGAAGTAATCCTCCAGCCCAGTTAACAGCCATATCAGTTTGTTGTATGTATAACGTCACAGCCCCAGCAACTGAGCCACCAGTTGAGAGCTGACCAAACTCAAAGAGTCCATCAAACACTGGACAATCTTCTCCAACATTAAATCTCTGCATCTGCTTACTATACTCAGACATGTTTTCTGGTCTTATTGACTGTAGAAATTTGATATACTCATTATTGCAGTATCTTGTCATTTCTTCAGCTGTGGATTTATGGGGCCTATATATATGTCCATTTTTCTCTATAAACCATAATTTAACAGCAAGTTATGGGTCATGTGGATTCTATGAGGTTTCATGGGATGATCCTGTCCATAATAATAATCTCCAATATTGCCATCACAGAAGTAGACTTTCTTCTTGCAGCCTCTTGACTATGCCATGGGCTCCCGGGCCACCAACACCTCCCGGCTCTGGCTCCTTCTCCTGCTGCTGCTGCTGCTGCTGCTGCTGCAACTCGCAACTTGGCGGGAAGAGAAAGGGGATGGGGTAAAAATGGGGGTGGCAGTTCCGTGGGGAAGGGCAGGTCAGAGGGAGGAAAGGAGGGTAATGCCAGGAGGGTAATGCCAGGAGGGCTCGGTACTGCCTGGCCAAAGGACCAAGAGCCAAAACTATTATTTTAAATTACTGTAACAATTGTATACATGTTCTTTTGCTTTCTTATTTTCTACTAGAGACTTGCACACAATCTTCTATGCGTCTATATCTTCATTTCCATCAATATCTGTCTATCCACCTAATTATAAGTTATATATATGTACCACTGTATTATTGGACTAAGATATTATAAACATGCATTAAAAAAACTAAAAGATAAATTTAAAAATATAAACAGAATTTCTAATATATTCTTCCTGCATCTTAGTGGACCATCTAGTGTAAATCTCACTCTGGATATCACTGTTCTAGGCAATAACTATTAACATTTTGACTGCATTCTCAGAGTAATAATGAACCAGTGAAGACCTCTCAAGGAAGGGTGATATGTGAAATACTCATAGCTCTGCAAGATTTATTCTGATAATAATGTGGAAAATCTATCAAAGCCAGAGAGACCCATCAGATGCTAACAAAATAATCCAAGTGAGAGAGATAATGAACACCTGACTGTGATAGTTTGATTTTACTATGTGCGTTTTACAATGTCCTTTAATCCTAACAATAAGTCTACTTTGATAATTTTTTTAAAACCTAGTTAAATTTTTTAAAGCAAACAGTCTGACAACTTAAAGGAGGCGGGTATGGGTGTCTAGTCTCGGTCCATAAGTAAACAAACAAACAAAAAGAGTCTAAAAGTTATATGCCAAGATATTAAATAACTGGTGATCTCTAGGTTTTTTTTTTTTTTTTGTTTTTTTTTTGTTTTTTGGCTTGCCTGTATTTTCTAATCTTTTAAAAATAACTTTCATTATATGAAATGATTTTTAAAGAGGCATTTCCATAGTGGTGACAGGTGAAGCAATTAGATGTAATTTCCAAGGCAGTGAAAATACAGCTAAGGGCAGACTATGGAGGAGGAAAAAAAGAGTAAAAGAGAAGTCAATAAAAGAAAAAGAAAGCAGAGCTCTCTACTAGAAAATATGATAGAAATAAAGGGAAGAAAATAAACTTCAGAGGTTGAGTAAGTAAAAAAAAACAGACTTCTGGTAACACTGGAGGGGGCACTTCATGGTAAAACAATTTAGGTAGAAGACAGATTACAAGAAACTGAGGCATTAAGAGAACAGTAAGGAAGTGGAGACAAGTAGAGACTATTCACTTTTCTTTCTTCTTCTAACCTATTCTGAGCTAATTTTAGACTTGCAGAAAAGTTGCAAAAATAGTATAGAGAGCTGTGTGTACCCTTGATCCAGCTTTCCCTAATGTGAGCATCTTACATAACCATACTACAATGATCAAAACAAAGAAATTAACTCTGGTATAATACTATTAATTCAAATAAACTATTCTATTCAAATATCAGTTTTCATACTAATGATACCTTGAAATTCTCTATTCCTCGATCTCTGTCTCACTGTACAGTAGAAAGCTGTATTTCACTTTCACTTAACTAAATTCACTGAATTTCATTATATTATACTTAAAATATAATAAGAGTTATTGCAGAAGGATTAGAAAATGCAGGCAAGCAAAAAAAAGAAAAGAAAAAAACCCATACACCTAGATATCATCAATCACTTAACATTTTGGTACGTAACTTTCAGACTTTTTTTTTTGGCCTATATATGAACTGAAAACGGATGGCCCGCCCTCAGTCTTCTTTACATTCTCAGAATCCACTTTATTGAGAATATAATTCATTCACCACACATTATCCATTAATAGTGTACAATTCAATAGTTTTTGGTATTCAATGAGTTGTGCAACCATCACCACAGTAAATTTTAGGACATTTTCATTACCCCAAAAAGAAACCCTGCACCCATTAGCATTCTCCATTTCTCCCCAACCTCTACCCCAAGCCCTGGGCAACCACCAATGTATGGATTTGCCTATTCTAGACATTTCATATCAATGGAATCATACAATATGTGTGGTCTCTTGTGACTTTCACTTGGCATGTTTTCAAGTTGTATCAGTACTTCATCCTTTTTTATGGCTGAATAATTTTGCTTACCATTTATCAGTTTGTTTATCCATTCATCAGCTGATGGATGTTTGAGTTCCTTCTGTTTTTGGCTAATATGAATAAATGCTACTACGAACATTCGTGTAAAAGTTTTTAAGTGGTATATGTTTTCATTTCTCTTGGGCATATACCTAGGAGTGGAATTGCTGGGTCATATGGTAATTCTATATTTAACATTTTGAGGAACTGTCAGACTGTTTTCCAAAGTAGTTATCCCATTATACACCCCACCAGCAACATATGAGGGTTCCAATTTCTTCAAATCTTTGCCAGCAGTTACTATTTTCTGTTTTAATTATAGCCATTTTACTGGGTGAGAACTGGTACCTAATTGTTTTGATTTGCTTTTCCCTGGTGATTAATGATGTTGATCATCTTTTCATGTGCTTGTTGGCCATCTTATGTCTTGTTTGGAGAAATGTCTATTCAGATCCTTTACCCATTTTTCAATAGGGTTATTTGTCTTTTTATTATTTAGTAGAAGAGTTCTTTATATATTGTAGATATAAGACTCTTATTAAATATATGATTTACAAAAATTTTTTCTTATTCTGTGTGTTTTTTTACTTTCTTGATTTTATCTGTTATGGGTTGAGTTGTGTCCTTCCAAAAAAATATATTGAAGTCCTAACCCCTAGTACCTATGAACTGTGACGTAAGTTTCAGTTGTCTTAAACCACCCAGTTTATGGAACTTTGTTACAGAGACCTAGTAAACTAATACAGTATCCCTTGTAGTAAAAAAGTTTTTAATTTTGATGACGTACGATGTATCAATCTTTTTTTGTCACTTGTACTTTTGATGTCATATCTAGGAAACCAAAGTCACAAAGATTTATTCTTATGTTTTTTCCTAAGAGTTTTAGTTTTAGCTCCTACATTTAGGTTTATTCCATTTTGAGCTAATTTTAGGGTATGGTGTGCAGAAGAGGTCTAGATTCATTCTTTTGCATGTGGATATTCAGCTGTCCTGGCACCATTTGTTGAAAAGACTATTCTTTGCCCATTGAATTGCCTTGGTGTCTTTGTCAAAAAAATCAATTGACCATCAATGTAAGGGTTTACTTCTGGACTCTCAATTCTTTTTCATTCATCTATATGTCCATCCTATCCCAGTACCACAGTGTCTTTTTTTTTTTTTTCCCTTCTTGTCTTTTTTCGTGTCCGGCAACGGATCGCAACCCTCAGTGTCACGCCCGTACCGGACCGGACCGGCAACGGGATCGCAACCCTCGGCGCTGCGTCCGCACCTTGCTCAGCCAGTGAGCGGGAACCGGTCTGTATGTGGGATCTGAACCCTCGGCGGGAGTGCCGCCATGCACTCCCAAGAGGCGCACTGTAGCAGTGCGCCACTGGGCCTGTCAAAAAAATCAATTGACCATCAATGTAAGGGTTTACTTCTGGACTCTCAATTCTTTTTCATTCATCTATATGTCCATCCTATCCCAGTACCACAGTGTCTTTTTTTTTTTTTTCCCTTCTTGTCTTTTTTCGTGTCCGGCAACGGATCGCAACCCTCAGTGTCACGCCCGTACCGGACCGGACCGGCAACGGGATCGCAACCCTCGGCGCTGCGTCCGCACCTTGCTCAGCCAGTGAGCGGGAACCGGTCTGTATGTGGGATCTGAACCCTCGGCGGGAGTGCCGCCGCGCTCCCAAGCGGCGCACTGTAGCGGTGCGCCACCGGGCCGGCCCACCACAGTGTCTTAATTGCTGTATCTTTGTAGTAAGTTTGAAATCGGGAAGTGTTAGTTCTCTAACTCTTGTAATTTATTCTTTATTTCAGAGATAATTTTATCTTTTTCTCCCATTTCTTTCCTAAGTCCTATCAACTTTTTTTCATTTCCCCGTTTTTCTTTTTCCTTTTGTTTTTATTTTTTGATTGTCTGAGTTAAGGTGGTTTTTCACATTTTCAATGCATGTTTGGGTATATTTAATATGTTTGGAGTGCCAACTTACAGTTTTCTTCTGTGCCTTGATTGTTTTTTTGGTAGTGGTAGGGTTTCCTTGGTTTACATGTGTGAAATTTCATTTCCTGATTTTCTGCAAAAATTTTCCATGGACTTCATTTTCCTCTTGTTCACTTCTATGACACTGAACTATTTTACATGATTCTCAATTTAATGGTGCTCTTTTCTTCAGTCTAGCAAATTCCAGGTACTTTAATGTGGTTGTTTAGTTTGTTTTTATTTGTCTTGGTGGTAAGAATAGAGTTGTAAGTCCTCTGATATAATAGTTCTTTCTTTCTCGTAGAACCCTACATTTCCCCTTCATCATCTAATTGCCATAAGACACTCTTTTTAAAAAAAATTTTTTAGGGCCGACCCTGTGGCGCACTTGGGAGAGTGTGGCGCTGGGAGCGCAGTAGCGCTCCTGCCGTGGGTTCGGATCCTATATAGGGATGGCTGGTGTGCTCACTGGCTGAGCGCGGTGTGGCCGGTCACAAAAAAGACAAAAAAAAAAATTTTTTTTTAGCCTTTTTCTCCCTCTCCCAGAAGCTATGAGTTTGGAAGATTTCCCTTTAAACTCTCTTGTGGTTTTAAATTGTGCTTATCTCTTTAAGTTGAACCAGATCCTTTAAGTTTCATGCATTTTGAAATCTCTTTCCTGTATTTCAGTGCACTCATCTGCCAAGTTACTAATTTAGTATTTTCAGATTTAGGATATATGTAATGTTTGGTGGTCATTCCAAATCACCTTTAGGCGTGCCCTTTACTATACCCCTCCCCCTTTTTGTCTTCTCCACAGGTTTCTTGGTATGCTTTTCCTCACCACAAAGCCTTGCAGTTGGGCAAAGAGTTGGGTGTGAGTACATGATAGATCATGCTGGGATTTCTTGATTTTTTTTTTCTTTTTACTCACAGTTATTTTGCAGTTTCAGGATCTTTTGTAATGCTAAGGGTGTGGTTTTATGTAGAATTTTGGTAGTTGTAAAGTAGTTTTGTATTGTTTGGGGAAAAATTGAGAGAGGTTGATTATTACATAGCCATCACTATTTCTGGCTACTTGGAAGTCTCCCATAACTATTTACTTTTGAGAAGTTCGGAAGCATAAAGATAAAGAAACTTGGAATGGTACCTTTATAGGTGTTTGTTAAGGTTAATGGAAAATCTTATTTTTAGGTAAGCTGCTTACTGGCCAAGAAAAAGAAGGCTGTGAGTAAAGACTGAGGATTTTAATTATCACCTTTTTCATTTACAACAGAAGACATGAAGACACAGATGCCAGAGAAGGAAGGATGTGGTGCAATCAAGAAATGGAGGAGAGGGCCGAGCCCGTGGCGCACTCGGGAGAGTGCCGCGCTGGGAGCGCAGTGGCGCTCCCACCGCGGGTTCAGATCCTATATAAGGATGGCCGGTGCGATGTGCTCATGGCTGAGCGTGGTGCGGCTGGTCACAGAAAGGACAAAAAAAAAAAAAAAAGAAATGGAGGAGAATATAGGTGAGACTCAAATAAATAATAATTGAGAAGACACAATCTGAATTAACTGACATCAGATTACTCAAAGTTCTACTGTAGTTCAATGCAAAGTGATCGACTGAGAATAAGAGGGGTAGAGCTGGGGTGAGGAGGCTTAAGTAGAGGATAAAGGCATAGAATCACTACAATGGGAATAAACCAGGGAGTCAAGCAGCAAAACATGAAATATTGCCAAGTAGGACTGAGGGCTCAGATGAGGCTAGAGAGCATACATATGGAGTGTAGGAAATTCCCATAACTGTATGACTATTCTAGGCTATACTTGTAATATTGGGATGGGGACAAGAGATGGTGGTAGTTACTGTGGACTGGACACTAGTGAGGCAGATGTCAAGAGAGTGTACAAGATCCTTCAGAGTATCACTGAAAAGGTATGTCCATGTGTCCAGGCTGGGTAGAAATGTAAATCAAATCAAAAGGTTAATGGTCTAAGAAAATAAAGTGAAGCCAAGGAACTAGAAGTCACAAAGGGAGTGAAAAGTGGAGTCATTAGAATGAACACAGAATGTGATGGAATATATGCAAAATCTGATCATTTAATTTTGATTTTAATGGCTGGGACAGTATTCATTCTTCTCTTATTACACCATGTATGTCCCTCCAAAATATATGCCCAAACAGAAGGCAACAGTTCTTTAAGGTGAACTAAACAGCTGTACTTCTCTATCAGGAACTCTAAACAATCTCACAAGGTCTATTTGTAGAGAATGAGACAGTGGAATGATAGAAGGCTGTGATTAGAGAGCACAGAGTTGCAGTAATAATCTTCATTATCTACAACCAATTAAAGTCACAAACTGAGTCCACAGAAGACCAAAAAGTGAAACCAACAAGCCTAGTTCCCAAGCTCCAACTTTTAACATGTTTTCTAAGAACAATTTTTAAATTAAATTTACACACACACACACACAAATTTTAACACTTCTGATTGTAAAAGTAATCCACATTCATTATAGGAAGTTTAGAAAATACAGAAATTTCTGCCTGATTTCTCTTGTTAAATATTATTACAGAATCTTAAATATTTTAGACCAGGGTTTGGCAATTTTTTTTCTGTACAGGGACAGATAGTAAAAATTTTAGGCTTTACAAATGTGAAAGTCTCTGTCGCAATTACTCAACTCTGCTTTTTTCATCTACTGAAATAACTGCAGGGTTTTTCTTCTTTCGTTTGTTAATACATGAATTGCACTGACTTATTTTCAAATGTTAAAAGAGAAAGCAATAATACACAATATGTAAAAGTATGACTATGACTGTGTGTCAATAAAACTCTATTTACGAAAACAGGAGGTGGGCTAGATTGGGCCCCAGAGCTGTAGTTTGTCAGCCCCACACCTGAGCCTGTTTTACAGGGCTTATAACTTAAGTAGTTGTCAAATGAAATAAACTAGCGTGCATATGTTCTAGAGACTGTGCTAAAAAACATAAATAAAAAGCTAATGGAGAAAAACATACCATTTTAAAAAATATGATAGGAAACAGAGGAGAAAACACCCCAAGGCTGACTAAAAGAGTCACAGAAGGCTTAATTAAGAAAGCACTTGACCCATGTCTTGAAGGACTTTATTTTAAAGCATTTTTTTAAGTGAAAGAATTAATTTTATAGTATCTTATGTTCAAACATAAGCTTACCTTGGAATAAGAAAGTGCTATTTGTTGAAACACAGCGTCATCTGGTGATTTACTATACGTGGCAAGTCCTTGTTCATCATCATCAAAAGGGTAGTTAACTACCAAAGAGCCTACAAAGGAAAACAGGAATATGTATCATGTTATGTGTTTCAAGATGGATCACTAACATAAAGTGAGCATTTCATAATACTGCCAGAAAAGGGAAACCAATAACATTTGCCAAGGCTAATTTCCTCAATAGAAATGAAAAATACACTAATTTCCTCAACAGAAAATCAAAGTGGACAAGTGAGAAAATAAATAGCTATACACGACACCTAAAGATTGCCTTAACTAGAACGGTCTTGGGAATTTACCTGAATTTACAGGTGTAATTTTCACGTCAGAGCAGAAATCTGAAGGTAAACAGGCATAATTTAAACAACTTTTTAAAATAATATTTAGGATCAGAAAAATTAAGCAAAATTTCATACTTTTTCAGTAAAATTCAGACATTTTTAAGGTCATGAAATTTTAAAATAAGAAGAGACCTTGAGGTCTAACTAATCCATCCCCCTCATTCCGGAGATGTGGAATCTAAAACAGAGAGGTTAAATGATTTATAAATACCAGAGTCAGATCTAACCCCCACTCTGAAAAAAAAAAAAAAAAATGCTAAAAATTTCTCTGATAGTTGTATTAGAAATTAATCAATTGGAATTATATCATAAGACTTTTCATGACCTAAGGTAAAGAAAGTGATGCGTTAAAACATATGTAAAGGAAAATACTGCCATTCACAACAACATGAACGAGCTTGAAGAAAATTATGTTAAGTGAAATAAACCAGATGCAGAAAGAGAAATACCTCATGTCCTCATTCACACGTGGAAACTAAAAAAGTTGATCTCACAGAAGTAGAGAGTAGAATATAGTGGTTACTAGAATCGGGTAATGGAAGGGAAGAGGGGAGAAGGAGAGGGTGGTCAATGGATACAAAACTGAAGAGAGAGAGGAAGAATAAGATCTAGTGTTCTCAAGCAATATAGGAAGACTACAGTCAACAACAAATTACTGTATAACTTCAAGTAACTGAGACAGTAATGTTTCCAACACAGAGGTAATAAATGTTTGAGGTGATGGATATGCTAAATACCCTATAATCATTGCAAACTGTATTAATGTATCCAAATATCACATTGTACTCCTTAAATATATACAATTATCATAGGCCAATGAAGAAAAAAGAAAAAGAAAAAAACTAATAGAGAGTAGAATAGTGGTTATCACAGGCTGGGAACAGGGGGGCAGGAAGGGGCAGCTGATAAAAAGATACAAAGTTACAGTTAGATAGGAAAAATAAGATCTGGTGCTCTAGGATGACTATAGCTAATAATATTGCATTGTATATTTCACAATAGCCAGAGAAGAGGATCGTAAATGTTATAACCACAAAGAAATGATAAATGTTTACTTGATAAATGTGCTAACTATTCTTTTTTTTTTTGTCCTTTTTTGTCTTTTTTCGTGTCCGGCAACGGATCGCAACCCTCAGTGTCGCGCCCGTACCGGACCGGGACCGGCAACAGGATCGCAACCCTCGGTGCTGCACCCGCACCTCGCTCAACCAGTGAGTGGGAACCGGTCTGTATGTGGGATCCGAACCCTCGGCGGGAGCGCCGCCACACTCCCAAGCGGCGCACTGTAGTAGTGCGCCACCGGGCCTGCCCCATGTGCTAACTATTCTGTTGAGTCATTATACAATAGATGCATGTATTGAAACAAAAAACTGTACCCCATAAAAATGTACAGATTAAATAAATAAATAAATAAATAAATAAATAAATAAATAGGAAAAAAGAACATATGTAAAGGATATTAATTCCCTTCATGCTCCCCACAGGGCATAAAATAGTTAGAGTGCTTCTCAGGTAAAAGCCTGAGCTACACATGCCCAGTCCCCCACCACAGGATTAAATACTTTATTTTCTTATTAGTCATATTGTTTTAATTTGTCCATCTGTCCACTTATTCTGCCTTCTACGGAGCCATTCATCTTTGCTCTTTTCTATCATGCCACTTCATAGGAATGGAAGTGAAGGAACATATCCAACTTGAATTCAGATGAAGTAATCCTGTAATAACAAACACTAGAAAACATTCACAGAAGAAAAAAAAAAAGAAGCAAATATGAAGAACTGTGCTCATTCTATCCCCAAAACAGTTCTAACAAGAACAAGTATTCTTCAACACCTTCTCTTACACAAATTTAATTTCTCAAAAACACTCTGGATCCATGAACCATATGTAAAAAATCAAACGACAACAAAAAAATCAACATGAATTTCTACTCAATACTGTCTTTCAAATGGCTAATTTTCTAAAGTAGAAAAAATTTTTTTTTTCTTTTTTAAAAAGAGAAAAAGACTTACAATAGTTCTACCAGTCTTTCACAAAAAGTAATTAGAACTGATACCAAAAGCACAAGCAACTATAAAAAAAAATAGATGAATCAGACTTCATCAAAATTAAAAACTTTTATTCATGAAAGAACACTATTAAGAAAGTGAAAAAACCTACAGAATGAGAGAAAAATTTTGCACATCAGCTATCTGATAAAGGTCTAATATCCAGAATACATAAAAAATATAAAGAACTCTTAAAACTCAACAACAAAAAGGCAAAAACCCAATAAAAATTGGGCAAAGGACTTGAGCAGTTAATTCTCCACAGAAGATAATACAAATGGCCAACAAGCACATACGAAGATGCTCAACATCAATAATCATCAGGAAAACACAAATCAAAACCACAATGAAATACCACTTCTCACCCTCTAGGATGGTTATAATTTTCTTAAAAAGGGAAAATAACAAGTGTTGCTGAGGACGTGGAAAAATTAGAACACTTGTACATTGCTAGTGGGAATGTAAAATGGTTCAGCCCTGCAAAAAACTGTTTGCCAGTTCCTCAAAAAGCTAAAAATAGAATCAGCGTATGACCTAGCAATTCCACTCATAGGTATATATCCAAAAGAATGGAATATATACCCCAAAGAATGGAAAATAAGGACTCAAATTGGTATTTGTATGCCAATGTTCACAGCAGCATTATTCATTAATTGTCAAGTAGAAACAACCTAAAATGTCCATCAATGGATAAAGGAATAAACAAAATATGGACAAACTATGTGTGTGTGTGTGTGTGTGTGTGTGTATGAATATTATCCAGCCATAAAAACGAATGAAGTACTTATACATGCTACAACATGAATGAAACTTGAGAACATTATGCTAAGTGAAAGAAGCCAGACACAAAAGGTCACATATTGTATGATCTCATTTCTATGAAATATCCAGAATTGGTAAATCCATAGAGACAGAACTAAGACTAGTAGTTACCAGAGGTTAAAAGGAAGGGAAAATAGGAAGCAACTGCTTAATAGGTATGGAGTTTCCTCTGGGGGAGATGACAACATTTTGGAACAAGACAGAGGTGGTAGTTGCACAACATTGTGAATGCACTAAATGCCACTGGAATTGTTTACTTTCAAATAGTTAATTCTATGTTATGAAAATTTCACCTGAATTAAAAAAATGAGTATCAAAATTTACAAAAAGGAATCTTGCTTTTTCCTATATTCTTCTAAAATCCTTCTAAATTAAGTTGGCAGTAAAGGAGATCAGAACATGCCATCTCAAAATATGCCACTTTGGCATATTACCTATTTTGAGCTGAAGGCAACTGAGGAACAGCAGATACAGAAAGGGCTCTCTGCACTTTTCCTTCCTGCCTAAAATCAGGGCATAAATTTCCTGTGAGAAAAGTGCCCTCCTGGTATCAGGAAGAAAACATTCTTTACCAGAGATGGGAAGTGATGTTGGCATGATGAATCTACACAAACAAACCTTACTAAAATAAGCCTTATTTCCTCTCATATATTTCCTAGTCAGTTTCCTACAATTTACTTCCCCTAGAAGCCAAACCTCTTTCTTTTACTAGTCACTTTTCCATAACTTATCGCCCCTCCTTAAGAGTATGTAAGTGTTCAAATCTAACATGCTTCTTTACAGGTTTCAATTCTTCCCTGTGAAGCCCCCTGTGCCACATAAAAATATTAACATCGGGGCCGGCCCGGTGGCGCACTGCATTAGTGCGCCGCTTGGGAAGTGCGGCGGCGCTCCCACCGAGGGTTCGGATCCCACATATAGACCGGTTCCCGCTCACTGGCTGAGCGAGGTGCAGGAGCAGCGCCAAGGGTTGCGATCCCGTTGCCGGTCCCGGTCCGGTACGGGGGCGACACTGAGGGTTGCGATCCGTTGCCGGACACAGAAAAAAGACAAAAAAAAAAAAAAAAAAAATTAAAATTGAATAAAATTTGTATGCTTTTCTGCTGTCAATCTGTCTTTTCTCAGCTTAATTCACAAGCTCCAGCTGCAGAAGAGGGTAGAGAAAAAGTTTTTTCTCCCCGACAACGGAAAGAAATTCTCTTTTAAATTTCTTTGCCAACATTTCAAAACCCATTTAAAGATTTGAAGATGAAAAAACAAAATACGTCTTGGAAGGAAACATGTCTACAAGATTGAAAATGACTGCCCTGCACCATGCCAAGGTCTTCACAGCACATCTGTAAATTTGTGACTTATTTTCACTGGAATGTAACTATTATTAAGTTTTCAGATTTAGCCAACATGACATATGACTTATTCAGAGAATATTTTTAAAAACTATAAATGAAAAATATTTTCTATCAAACATGGTATAAAATATAGAAGATATTAAAAAAAGAAAACAAAAAATGTCTTTTGCCAATGAGCATGTAATTTCATAATTCTTAATTGGCTCTTTGAGAATAGCCCATGATTACCAACTGTAGAATTATCTTTTTCTACTACTGGGAATCTCTCAAAGCAATTTTTGGAGAATCTCAATTTACTTCCTAAATCTAAATATTCACAAGTATATACTGTCATTCTAAAATGGCAGGCTACTCTATATATCATCAAATCTCAACTGTGATCCTTCTTTTGGACATACCAAACAATGTTGACACTAAATTTTTTTGCATTGTCCCGGTGCTAATACTTTCACTTTTTTTTTTTTTTTTTGTCTTTTGTCTTTTTCCGTGTCC